CGTTTTTAAAAGAAAAAAAACTATTATTGTTATAAATAGCACATTCAATTGAACTAAACCATGCATGTCTATTTAAATATAACTACACATGGCTTGTGTATATTGTATATATATTATTCATACCTTCGGTGTATAGGACGTAAGCAGATTTTGACATCAAATTTTGGGGAAAAAAAGTGTGTCTTATACACCAAAAAAATGGTATAAGCTTTTATAAAGGCTTTTTATAGAACTGGGCAATTAGTGGAATTCGCTAATCCATTAATTGATTACATTCAACTAATCAATATTCTTACAAAATAACTATAAAGAACCTATACTGCTAAAAATTGGGTTTTGATGCCTGCAAAGGATAGAGCAGAGATAGCTAAATGTGTAGCTTTGTGCTTAATAAAAAACATAACATGAATATTTTGATTACTTGAATAATGGAAAAAATCAAACAAATAATAATCAGAAACCCTAAATTTGATTAGTTGATTATTTTTGTTACCCATGACACTAAATGATTAGGCTGAACAAAGCTGAATTAACTGAAAATAATAATGGAAATGTTTTTGATTACTGGATAATTGGAAACAATAATTTCAAATAACTCATTATTTCTGTGGCATTAATTGTAATTTCAATTATTGGAAAGCCAGAATAATCAAAAATATTAATAATAGCAAACACTATTTTAATTAGTTGATTATTTTTATGACATTAATTGACTTAATTATAATTTTGATTATTGGATAGTTGTAGTAACCATATTTTAATAATTGGAAACACTTGTTGATTATTTTCATTACATTAATTGCCTTAATCATAACTTAGATTACTTGATTATTTTACATGATACTAATTGATACTCATAGGTAATTGATTATATTGATTCATCAAGTAAATCACCCACCTTTAATAGAACACATAACTGAATGTTTAAACCACACGTGGATAATGTCAATTGTCATACACAAAGTAAAGGTAATTCTGCATATTCACCTTATAATATTAAAAACCCTTTCTGTGCTTTTATAAATAATGTAATAATCGTTATAACTAAACACAGCAAGATGCATGAACTTTTCCATTTCAAAACCTTTACATCAGTTCAAATTTAATAAAATACATTGTGGTTAGCAACGAAGATAAATATGTATAATGCAAAACTAGATAGTGTGGAAATCTTAGTCCTACAAAGATTTCTATACATAATGCACATGATTCCCTGACACTTGACATTTAACGATTATGTCTTGTACACTATTCTTTAAAGAAGTTTTCAAATAACTATTACAAATACCTACCTAACAGAGCTAGAAAAAGTCTACTTTTAAAGATTCTTATTACTCGTTCAATAGCATTTCTCAGCTGTTTATCTTGAGGTTTAGTTAGTTTCGTATGATACTCTTCTAACAGCTCTAAGGCCCGGTGAGCCTCTGAAAAATAAATTCAGAACTGTTTTATACTTTTAAATGCTCTGCTTACTATACTACAGTACACAGAAAAAAATTGTTTATATTATAAATTAATTAATATGTACAAGTATATGTTACTTTTTACATTAGACTAAAGTGATATATAAGCAAAACCACTTCATGTAGTACACAAAAATGCTTTGCTAACATCCAACCTTAGCTTTCACAATAAATCTATTTTTGTTCAACAAAAAACTTAGCAAGAGATCTGAGCTAACCTGTAAGAATTAAGCAGCAAAAAACTCAAAATTTTACAAACTTGAAAAATAAATTCAAAATCAAACATCTGAATATTTACTGGAATAAAAGTGTAACAAGTCCACATCAAAATTTTTTTACCTATTTACCTTTACCTTCTGTTATGCAATTATTGTAAATTTTCATAAAATTCACTGTTCATTTCAATTTACAAAAATGTCTTGGAAATTATTAATGTTCAACTTTTTATTACATAATGTACATGTATACAAAAGAAAATTAAATTAGATATAATTTCATGTAATTTTATGTTTCTACAAACACTTGAAAAAAGTCATGAATGTTCAAGAAATTTATTTCATTATGTGTAAAAAAATGCTGAGTTACAGCTAATACCCTAAACGGTAAACTTCAAATTTTCCAGGCTGTAAAATTGACTTTTCCTGTTTACCACCATGCATTTTATATTCAATCATACAGAAAAGATAAAATATAGCAGTGGTCATGGCATGGTTATTATCAAATATGAAAAATCATGTTTTTTTGATATATCTAAAATCCAGAAAACTACTAAAATTTAAATTATAGTTAGCTGGAAACTATGCAAAAACCTTCAAAATGAAAACAAAATGTTTTTCCCTTTAATAAAAAAATTATAAAACATAAAAATTACATTGTTCATTAACTTATTTACTGTTAACTGAATCTTTTGCAAATTGTAGTCTTATTCCTCCTTAGTGAACAGTAAAAAAGAAACAAATAAAATTTACATATTTGGGTACTGTTTTATGATTTAAACTGCTGAACCATACACACACTATGAAATATTTTTAAATAATTATTTTTCTTTTAGAAAGATACAAATTGTAGTTCTCCTTCAACACTACAATCCTAAAATGGTGAATTTTAGATATTAACTTTAATATACAAACCAACTCATTTTTAATATGAAATATTAAAATTTGATGGAGCTTATGAAAATCATATTGAATACTCTTCTCTCAGGTTCTTAAATTTTGTCAGTTCAACTATTTACAAAAAGGCGTTATATCCTATCTGCTTCATTTTTCCTACACCTATTATATGTTTGGTTGTTCATCTAAATATTTTTATATAATACTAATAATTCAAGTGCATCAAAACTCCCATTTTTTCTATTTCAGTATTGAACTTGTACCTTTCACTCGCGTCAGGATAATGCCAATTACAGTTTATACGTAAATCACTAAATGCCATTTTGTTTCAAGTTCTTTGTAAAATCAAAAAGTGACAACAAATTCAAATACGATGTACAATGTACACGGCCACGATTCAACGAAACGTAACACTAACAGCAACGTAGGTCAAGGTATTATCAAGCTTTGTAACAATACGATAAATTACAAAAGTTAACAGTACTGCAGTGTAGTTATAGTTGGTACGAAACGTGACAATAACTATCACATATCAGTATCAGCGTCATATATTTGTGTTGCATTTAAAAATTAAAATTGAACGGGTGGTATTTGTGCCTTGATTTAAATTAACGTATAACCCATAAACTAAAGATAACATGGCACGCTGGCTCTTAACTTCAAAGTTAAATACCTTAAATTAATTAAAAAGTTACTTGTAATTTGTAAATAACTTGTAATTCTTCCGAGACTTCAGTAAGCTTATGACAAGTTACGAATACTTTACAATATAACAAGTTAGGCTTAACTTCATTTTCAACTTGTTTTATTATAAAACGTTGAAACTGCGATTTAAAATTAATAATAGTAATGAATTGATCTTACCACCTTGTCTACGAACAGGCATTTTAAATGCCAGCGTAGGGAGCACGGTACGCAAATAGTAACTGAAAGCTTTTTCAATGCCGAAAGCTACCGTTCATCACGTCCCTTCGACAAGATAATTTTCGCTAGGAAACGCTTAGGCTTACGTCCAAAAAGTATATCCAGTGTGATGCGTTTCCCTATTTTCCTATATCAGTATATGCTATCGCTAATGCGCAAAATTATAAACAATACTACGTTCAGTTATTGTTTATTAAAAACAAATACGTCACTTTTAAATAAAATAAAATTTATTTCAATAGTATTCACACTGTTTTATTTATCTTAAAACAAAAACAGTAATTCAAACACGAACAAAAATAGGCTCTAGTTAGATTCTACATTGCGGTGCTAACACATCACGGAAAATAACATGGCGTCAATTAGCAACACTACGCATCTCCAACGGTAAATTCTGTTCCATAAGTATAACGCGAGAATGTCAACGTTTTTTTTTTATTATTTTGCTTATCAATAGTGAAAGTTATAGACCACATACTACCTCCTACTTCTTAATCGCCACTGGAGCAACACAATGATAGCAGATTTGACTTTCATTTGTGTCATTTAAGCCAGTATGAAAACCTTTTTATAGATTACAATCTCTTGCATTTATTTCTTAATTCGGTTTAAGATAAGAAATAAATAAGCTTAAATTGTGAAAGCACCAATTTAAGATTTCTTTAGACGTTTAAAGATCAACTCAAATGATTGATCAGATCAGGTCGATTGCGACAACAAACGTGCAACAGTGTTTCATTATTCTCATGCATAAACAGAAAAAATAAAATATTAGAGTATAAAAAGCAACGAAAATGTCTTAGACAAAGGTGAAATTAACATCATAACTGTTTTGTTGTAAGCTGTATTTTCAATGTTTTAATTTGTTTTTGTGATTTTTTCTAGAGGGCGTATGACATAAAGATCAAGAAATTTATAAAAGTAGTCCTAGAATACTTAGAGGCCCCTAGTAGCACAGCGGTATGTTTGCGGACTTACAACGCTAGAAACCGGGTTTCGATACCAGTGGTAGGCAGAGCACAGATAGCCCTTGTGTAGCTTTGTGCATAGTTATAAACAAAACAAACAGAATACTTAGAATTTTCATGAATGTTAGTGATCAAGAGACATTGTGAAATGTCTAAAACAAGGATACATTATAAATACGAGAATCAATGAAACATTGAGTCAGTTTCAGTTTGTAGAAAATCAGTCAAAGTGAAATATTCAGATCAGTATTAGTTATTGCATATATTCAATTACTGGATTGATTAATTGTGAAAATGTACAAGTGAATTTACCTGTACTTTAGTAGTAGAACCACAACTAAGTAAATTTCAGTTGAAAGTGAAAATGCTGTTGTTGAACTTTAGCCTATAAGTGTAACTGAGGGCAAATGATAATATTAGTAGTCTGTAGCAAACGATGAAGAAATAAATTAATGTATTATTGTTATTTGGTCTGTACTTTACATTACTTTCACCAATTAATTTCAAATAACCAGTGGCGCCAAATGACAGAAGCCTCCCAGTATGTCTGCGGACTTACAACGCTAGACATAGGGTTTCGATACCTGTGGTGGGCAGAGCACAGATAGCCCATTGTGTAGCTTTGTGCTTAATTACAAACAAACAAAAATGACAGAACAATATTGCAACAGTAGGATTATTTTGGTGAAAATAAATATTTTCAACATGGGAATCAAGTCCAGAAGCAAGATCGAAATTGTGTGAGAGAAAGATAATGAAACAGTTTAAAAAAGAACAATATAGCAAATTAAAATACAAAGAAAAGGAGTGATACAGAAATTTTGAAGAAGACTAAGAACAAAAAGAAAATTAAAAGAAGATCGAGGAAAAGTGACCGAAAATTAGAAGAACAAGACATAATATTTGATGAAGAATTAAAAGCAAATCTGATTAAAGACAAAATCCATGAATCTATTGGGGACATATAAAGGGATTGCAACAGCAAGTTTGAAGAAATGCAGAAGGACATCAAAGAAGAACAAGAAGCTTGTAATGGCAAAATTGGAAAAGTAGAAAAAAAAATAGTGTTGCGTCATCGAGATCACGTGACAATTCTCACGCTCTCTTTTTTCTAGAACTATCCCGTATCTTGGCGAATGGTCTAGTAATTACTAGAAATAGGGTACGCTGGTATATAAAAGAGGGGAGGTAATGTGTGTATAGAGAGTGAGTAATCGAACTGCAGTCAGAGAGAGACGTATTGTTGT